TAGGGACTCTAGTGGTAGGACAAGGGGTAATTGGTTTAAACTTAAACAGGGGAACTTTAGGTTAGATATAAGGAAGAAGTTCTTCACAGTGAGGGTGGTGAGGCACTGGAATGGGTTGCCCAGGGAAGTTGTGAATGCTCCAAACCTGGCAGTGTATAAGGCCAGGTTGGACAGAGCCTTGGGCAACATAGTTTAGTGTGTGGTGTCCCTGCTCATGGCAGGGGGGGTGGAACTAGATGATCTTAAGGTCCTTTCCACCCCTAACTATTCTATGATTCTATATTGGATCAGGCTACTGAGAATTTTGAATCAGTCAACTCATGCCATTAAACTAGCAAATAATAGGCACGTTTCAAACCTAAGTTGAGGTTGAAGCCAAAAACCTACTCTGAGCTGAACCAAAACATATGAACTTGGGAAAAGTTGACCTTTGGATTTTAAACCTCAAAAAAAAGATGTATAGATCTGAATTTTGATCTTGCTCATACCTAATTTTCACCCGTACAGGAACAGCAGTACAAATGAAGCAATTCTCCATTCACTCTAGTGTAATTAAGATGATGATTGCAGAACTACAGGAATACAGATCCAGGCCCATTTTTCATTTCAAGGTTGAACACATTTATGACAACATCAGGAAAACTAGGTAAACTGTGTAAATTCATTATGTAAATTATATGAGTTCATTTTACAAAGATCCACTCTGTAACATTTTACAAAGATAAGAAGGTAGTTTCATTATAAATTGGAGAAACTAAGACAGCTTAGGTGAGCCTGGCGGCATCACAAAAACACTCTGAAGTACTTTCACAGTAGCTGTTTTCTGCTAGACAATTTTAAACTACAATCATTTTCTGGTTGTTAGCATTATTTCACGGTTCACTTATTTTTCATATAATGGTGGCTGATCTTCTACATCCTTTAAGGATGCCACTCATCAAAATGGTGTAAGATTCCTTGTGGTTGGAATTTGTTCCAATTCCAATTTGTGGTTGGCAGTTACAGACACAGCACTCAAAAGATAATTTACACAGAAAAGCAGATTTCTGAAATGAAAGTCAAAAACTATTAGAGGTGCCACCTTGTCTGAATT